AAAAATTTGTGATATTACTACGGTAGTTAATTAGATTTGCGTTTTAAGTTCGACGAAATGTTCGGCGCGCAAGGGGGGGAACTACTTACGTGGTATATAATATTCACACTCTAACATATCTTATATATGATCGCACCAATAACCGCTGAATAGCTCTCATTAGCCTGATTATTCTTGTTATTTGAAATTATTAAGACTTAATAAAACAAATAGAATTAATAAAATAAACAGAACACAAATATTTTATTGTAGAGTAAACTCTATTAATACTTAATAAAACAAATAGAACTTCTGTTAAAACTGCTTCTCTGCTAATTATCTACTATTCTCTACATATTCTCTTTTATTTTTAAATCATGCTCCAAAATCCTTAATTCGGTTTTTGAATATTATGTATTTTAAATTACTTAACTCTAATTGATTAATTTCCTCTAAATGATTTTCTTTAATTTTAACAATTTTTTCATCATGTTGCAATTTGATATCTGCGAGTTGCTGCTCCTGCTTTATAATTTATTTTATTCGTTCCATACGCAGGTTTTCTTCTGCATCTATAGTATTTCATACACTGTAGCTGTTCTAACGAAGTTTATTATCCTGATTCTCTCGCAGTGTAAGAAACATAAAAATCAATTACGCTTTTGAGACTTTCACGGGTATGTTCTTCAATTATACCAGAAGTGCCTAATTAAGGCATTAATAATGAAGAGAGACACGGCGATAACCCGCAAACCTTCTGGTATAAAAATCAATTCTTGGGATTTACTAGAATTAAAATAAATAAAGAAAAGGCTCTATATGTATAAAACAATACAAATATAAGAAGAGCAAGGAGCCAAGTAAATTTATCGAACAATATAATTCAATAAGATCCTTAAAAATTACAAATTGACAGACGTTTCGACTCCGATCGGGTCATTTTCAATGTTACAAATTATTATCTAGAATTTTAAAATGAATAACAGGCAATTATTTAAGAATCTAATTCGTGTTCTTATATTTACATTTAATTTTACTAAATTACATAATTCTTTTAAATATTGACAACTTTCATGACCAAACTCATTTCTAATATAAGAAAATGTAAAGTTAAATCGTGTATATTTATAACTATAACGCATATTTTCGCCCGCGTGAATAAAATAAATAAAGAAAAGGCTCTTATATGTATAAAACAATTTGGTCATGAAAGTTGTCAATATTTAAAAGTATTATGTAATTTAGTAAAATTAAATGTAAATATAAGAACACGAATTAGATTCTTAAATAATTGTTATTCATTTTTTAATTCTAATAATTTGTAACATTGAAAATAACCCGATCGGAGTCGAAACGTCTGTCAATTTAGAATTTTTAAATATCTTATTAAATTATATTATTCGATAAATTTACTTGGCTCTTTGCCCTTCTTATATTTGTATTACTAGAATTAATTTTTATATTGCACGAGAGATTCAAGATAACAAATTTTGTTAGACAGTCGACATTCTCGAGTTTACTGCTGAGGTTACAACAATAAATACAAGTACTTGAATTCGCTGATTTCAGCAAATAATTTTATAAAAACTAGCGATCTCCGGATATATCGTTGTTCTGTAATTAACATTTTATACTTTAATATTTCTTTTTCAATTTTTGATATAGAAAAATATTATACTAATTAAAGTAGTTTTCGTTGACACGATGCAACAGAACACAATACAACGCGATAATATATTAAGTTTGTTCTGTTTAGCTCAACGTATGCAATGTTTCCATTGGAGGATTCATAGGAAATATCACGGAAACAACCGAATTATAAATAAGTATTACCTTAAGCATAACTTCGCGAAGATGATCTTATTTTAAATAAGAAAAATTTCGGCAAGAACTTCTTCGCCAAGATCGTCTTAATTCGCGACTATGAAATCTACTACTATTGAGATAATCTTGATTGAATAAGGCGTTCTTTGCCAAGACAGTCTTAAGTACTGATTTGAGCTCGGACTATGAATACGGCTCATAGTGTCCACAATAAAAATGTTAAGTCTATGGCCGGTATTCATAGTCAGTTCTTATTTGAAGACTGTTTTAAGTAATGTCTTAAGGTGCTAAAGCGACCCTCCGATTGGTTCGTAACTCTTCAAGACTGAACTTAAGACGGTCTTGAATATAAGAACTGACTATGAATACCGGCCTATGACTTAAATCAACGATCTTAAAGTCTTAACCTAAAATCAGAACGTTTCTCAGAGTGAAATTCAGATATACAGCTATAATCGTGCTATCCATCGTGCAACTTGTGCAAGCCTGTCAGTCGCCGTCAACATATATTTACAGATTATCGTTTCCTAACAGTTTTTACAGGTTATTGTATCCCACTCATAGATATTTATATAACACTAGATCGCTAACTATGTACCGTGCATAAAAATTGATTCCAAAATTTATGTATTACGAAGCGTGACGTCAGAATAAAACGGTCACGTAGTGACTATTGTGTCATGGCCGCGGTAAGGATACATAGGCGATATACGTACGTGTAATGTTCGTTCGTGTATGATTTTGTAAAATTTACAATGCCATTATCTTGTCGTGTTAAAAGTTGCCGCCGTTTAAGTGAAAAAGAGAATCAGGAGGTAATATTTCATAGGTAAGTCGCAAACCCCCTAAAGTTAAATAGCCCCGGGCCCCTCAACTTTTTAATCCGGACCTGGTAACGTGCCAATGTCACGGACATGTGACATGGGTTTAGTACATACTTTTCAGAATCATGTACTAGAGCCAAGTTAGCGATCTAGTGTTATATAAATATCTATGATCCCACTCGGCTTTAAACCGTAAGATTTTAGCACTAAGAAATGAAATTTCGCCAATTCGCTTAAGGATTAAAGTTATAGCTTAAGTACTGGCGGGAAAGCCTTACGGACAGAAATGACGTCACAAATTACGGCTTAAAGCTTAAATCTTAGGTTTTAAGATCTCATTGTAGACACCGCTTTAGAAAGTTTTAATACGGCCTTGAATGCGAACAGAGAAATAGGAGAAGACGTTTTTTAACTTTTTATTAAAATTACTACTTTTCGATCGCTTGTATCTCCAGAACGGTTTGACCGATTTAAAATTTTTTTTAGTTCAAATTACTCGTGACGATGCCGCCTTTTAGGACATATAACGTTCGAATAAAAATTTTTTATATTTTAGTAGTTATGCACCCCCGAAAAATGAACTTTGATGGCTCGGGATAAGAAACTTGTAGTGTCTTTCAGTTTTTGAACATGGCCGGAGACACTACCACGTCTCCTGATGAAAAATTTTAATTCGAAAATTTGTAACACAACACTAACATTTGAAGAAAAGATTTACTAAACTCGACAAAATATTAAAAATCCACCATTTTGTTGTAAAGTGCTTCGAAAATATTGAAATAGCTCTAAAGTCGCAGAATATGTCAAAGATTATAGTGTAAAAATTTGAATAATAAATATTTATATTCGGCTAAGATTTCACGAGTTGAAGTGCTACCATTCTCTCAACGCCTTTTTGCGATTGTACTAGCAACATTTTTTTCCATATAATTTATCGAATTTTTGTTTACATGCCAAATACAAAGGAAATCAACAAATATATTTTTAATATATAATAAATTATATTTTTGCAATTAAATTCAATATGAGAACTATCAACAGGATTTAATTCCTCTCTCAAAACAAATTGATATTTATGGCTCAACAATTTTTGCACATTCTTATAAAATTATTGAAATTATTCAGAATTTTGGGAGGGCTGCAGCCCCCACAGTCCCCTCTTGGCTACGCCACTGTAATGATTTATACTACAGCCATCAATGTAATATCTAACATGTCATATCGTTTGTAGCATCACGTAGATCCAGCCATTGGTGTTTACATTATAGATCGATACACTTATTATGCATTAAACTTTTTGGAAAAAGTAGAACCATCTAGCATTAAAACATTAGGTGAATTTGTAAGTATCTTATTATAATGTTATATCAAAATAACTTTTTTTCTTATCATGTATTGATTAACCTAGATTAATATTTTTTAGTTGAAAGTATGCCCAAGAGATTATTGTCTATCTACAGTAGGTGTAAGAAGAGATTTGTTTAGAAGGGATCCAGATAAAGTACCGGTAACGGATTTTTTTGGTTCACTTAAGCCTGTAGAACTTACGACAAATATAATAAATATTTTAGCTGTTAAATCTAATCGTACAAAAACTCAGGAATTTGAAAAAAAATATAATTATGCTCTACAGTTTCCAGAAATAGTATCTCAGTATACCTAAGTAATAAAGTAAGTAAGTAATAAGTGATATTCTTATAATACATTTTTTGTTACTTTAATTTATTGGAAAAGTATGTGGAAGAAGACAAATTAAGGCTTTAAGAGGATCCTTAAGACATCTTACACACAGACGATTACGTGTCATTGACACATCACTACATCAATATTTTACTCACGCACGCCACACATACGAGTATACGCAGATTTTTGTATCGTTATTATGTTTTAATTAGACATCTAAATCTAATTTTAAGAACTCCACGCTATTTCTTCATGCATTTTTTTTTATCGTTTTCAGCATAGATTCTACCTCACAGGCACGTATTAATGCGTATACTTTAATTCTGTAAAAGGATTTTCGAATCTGTGATTGACTAAAAAAGTATTTACGATACAAAAATTATACGATTTAGTCGGTAATACAGGAGGCTTTAGGATCCCCTTAAAACACTTAAAATGACATCTGTATACTTTCGTAGCATAAGATCGTTTAAATTAATAATAAATGTTACATAAATCAATATGGTAATTTTATACTAGATCTTGATCTTGATCCAAGATTCCAATAATTAAATCAAGTAACTGTCAAATGTCGATGCAAACCAACACAGGTTATTTGCAGGGTTGGGAAGTAACGCGTTAGTTGTAACGGCGTTACCATTTTCGTTACCTTTTTCAGTAACGATCGTTACTTTTTTCTGTCTGTAACGATAACAGTAACATCGTTACATTTTTACAGTAACGGTAACGAATTTAGTCGTTACTTTTACCGTTACTTTAGTTTCCTATTTTTAGTTTCCTGTTCAATAGATCGCACTGATTGCGCGCCAATAGCGCGCGCTGATCACGTGCATTCTGGAAACTTATGGTACATTTCAGCATTGGATTAGATTTTTCATTCATTTTCAGCACATATTATACATATAATAGTAAAGGAGAATATAAAGGTATCCTCTTTTATTATTTGCTAAAAAATTGTTTAACTTTTATAAAAAGATTATCGCTTTCGGGAATCATTTTATTTCTTGATTTTTAATATAGTTTTTTTAATGAAAACATTTAATGAAAAAATTGTCATGAAAATGTAGAAATGAATATCCGAACAAAAAAAAAAGTAACGAATCATTACATTTTAAGTAACGGTAACGCGTTACTTTTCGAAATTGGTAACGAGTAACGGTAACGAGTTACTTTTTTCAAAAAGTAACGATAACGCGTTACTTTTTTGAGGTAACGCGCACAACTCTGGTTATTTGTGTACTTTACCATAAGTATTTGAGAGCATTCGATGAGCCTCAGCCGCAGATTTTTTCACATTAAAGCAGAAAATTAAAACCTCTCGCAAATAACGAGAATTTAGCTCGTAAACTGACATTTTCAATCGAGAATAACTTTATGATGCAGACACAAATCGACTAATGTTTCTATGGGGTTATGTTGACAGATGTCCAAGTTTATTGTATGACCTCTATGATCTATGGCGTTTTTTCGACTAATATTTGTCATTTGATCTCTGAAAACGAAGTTAGAGCCGTGGTTGCTTCTGGTTGCATAATGAAAAAACGCTTCTATTTATTTCGACCACCACTAGAGATCCTATAATCAGGGTGCGATTACATGGAGCGCGGTTTGCGGCACAGGCTAGTGACAAACTCACATTACTATGGCTTAGAGACCCTCTAAGGGTGATTTTACATGCAGCGCGGAACGCGGTAGGCGGTAAAGTAACTAGGAACCGCGCGCGGTAAGCCGCGCTAATTTTCTCCTATTATTACATGGAGCCAAAACTGCGCGGAAAAGCGGCACGGACTAGTGACAAGTTGACGTTACTATGCACTTTTTAATGAAATTAATAGATTTAAATGCAATTATTAAGCAGATTCGTTGAAAAAATAAGATTATTGATAAAATGTGCATAGAAATAAGTTAATACATTTAAGAAAATGCATACAAATGTGAACTTGTCACTATACCGTGCCGCCTTTCCGCGTTCCATGTAAGGGAGGGTTCACACCTTGACGGAAAAGCGGAAAGCGGAAGAGCAGTTAACCGATCAAAACTCGTGCTGGTAGTATATAGTACAAAACTAACAGAAAATCGACTACCTGATTGGCTACTGCTTTTCCGCTTTCCGTTTTTCCGTCAAGGTGTGAACCCGCCCTAATAGTAGGAAAAAAGAAAGGCGGAATGATAACGACATGGTCGGCATCGGCTCGGTCGGCTGGGTGCATAACTAGAAATTAACACAGGTATATACTGTGTATACTGCCAAGTAAAGAGAAATAATTTCGGAGTTCGGAGTTTGGTAGGAAAAAAAACGATTTTCGCATTAATTAAAGACTGTTTTTGTCATGGAGACTGCAGATATAATGTTGATGGCCATGATAACATTATTAAATCGATTAAATCTAATAATTACCATGCGCTTTATTGGCTACTTGGAAGAAATTTGCGTTAACTTTTCAGGTTAATTACCTTATAGTTACTTCACCGCGTACCGCGGCTTGCCGCCGCGGTTCCTGGTTACTTTACCGCCTACCGCGTACCGCGTTCCGCGCTGCATGTAAAATCACCCTAACAGAGACTGGCCATCAGGCGAGTACGGCATTTCCTAGCGAAATCCTACAAGTGAGAGAGAAATATAGACCATTCCACTCTTTCACTCACACGAATATGTGCGTTCGTATGTGATCGTTTATTCAAGTTGATTTGAGTTGATTCAAGGTTGTGTTCGTGGTTTTTGCTCAGTACAAAATAATAACAATAAAAATGAGTGGTTGTACTGCACAATTTTGGAAAAATTATTTAATATCTGTCTTTAGTAAGGTTACGGCTAAACATGTTTTAAATTATCAATTGTTTCCTAAAATTATTAGAAAGTTTGTCGTATTCAAATTAAGAACATTAAGTAAGAAAAATACTAATATTAATAGAAGATATGACAGTAAATCATTGGCAGTACCACACCTTTTTTAAATAAATTTTACAAATGTCAAGTGTTTGTACTTTTGTCACTGATTTCCTAACCTTACTTTAATTTTATTTGAAAAAGATTTAATAGAATTAAGAAAAAGAGAATATTAAATATAGAAATTATTTAACGTATAAACAAGAAGAACGAAGACAATATAAGAGTCAATGTTTAAAATTTAATAACAAAGTCAAAAATCAAATCATAAATGTCAAAAAACAGCTATTATAACAAAGTTATTTAAAGATAAAGATGTATATAACTGACGATAAAACTTGACATGTTTTTTTTTATTTGACGTATATTATTTATATTGATGTAAAAAGCACGGTTTTAATATTTCTATAATATTTATCATTACATACTATTTATATTCCAAGTAAATGCAGTAATTGAAATTTCAATACGAGCGGGAATCGCTAGGAAATGGCGGACCAATCAAAAGTGGCCCCCTGATGGCCAGTCTCTGTTAGAGGGTCTCTACTATGGCTATCTTCCCATAGTCCCTTTGTCAGTCAGTAAAATAATATTACTAGGGTGACGTCATCTTACTGACTGGAGAAGTGTTCCCATTCTCGCCAGTAAAAAGTGACGTCAGGATTTGTTGCGTTTCTATGCCCTATGCTTTCCAAGAAGACTAGAACCAGGAGAGTAAACTAGCGTGGTGGGGGTAGGTCAAAAAACGTCCGCGGTTATTCATTCAATGCGCAGTGGCATTGCACATTGAATGAAAGTTTGCGCATGCGCGCGTCGGTTATAACCAAGAAGTCTTGTTCTTAAGGGTCTACGCACAATAGGAGAAATATTAGGAATAGATATTAAATATAAGAATTTTAACCTGT